GCCTTTTGGCTTAACAAACAGTCCAGCAACATACCAGAGACTAATGGAAGAATGTCTTGGAGACTTGAATATGCGTATATGTGTTATCTACTTGGACAATCTCATCATATTTAGTAAAACATTTGAAGAACATCTTGAAAGAATAGACTTAATATTTGGTAGACTTAAAGAATGTGCTCTTAAACTGGCAGCAGAGAAATGTTTCTTCTTCAAGAATAGAATAAATTTTCTTGGACATGTTGTAAGCGATGAAGGAATCGAGACAGACCCAGCTAAAATTGACAAAATTAGAAACTGGCCAACTCCAAAGACATCTGATGAACTTCATTCATTTCTATCATTCGCTGGTTACTACAGACGCTTCATCAAGGAGTTCAGCAAAATTACCAGACCTTTATCAGAATTAATACCACATCCAACTGGCAAGAAAAGATCTAAGAAAATAGTTAAAGAATGGTCATGGACAGAAAAGGAGCAAGATATTTTTGAGAAATTGAAAGAGAAGATGACCACACCTCCAATACTGGCATATCCGGAATTTCAGAAGCCGTTTGAGCTTCATTTCGACGCCTCGACAATTGGACTTGTCGCGGTCCTTTACCAGGAACAGGACAACCACAAACGAGTCATTGCCTATGCAAGCAGAGCATTATGAAAGTCTGAAAAAAAATATTCTGCATACAAGCTAGAGTATTTATGCTTGAAATGGGCTGTCACTGAAAAGTTTTCAGATTATCTGACAAACAATCACTTTGTTGTTCTAACAGATAACAATCCTTTGACATACATCTTGACCTCAGCAAAACTTGATGCCACGGGACAAAGATGGGCAGCTGCATTAGGACAATATGATTTCGACATATATTATAGAGCAGGGATTAAGAACACCAATGCAGATGCAATGAGTCGTTATCCATATTACCTTGATACAACAGATGAAGACATAATTTAGATAAAAGATAACGTAGTCAAAGCCGTTTGTAACTCAACAACTACTTCATTTTTAGAATCTCTTCCAACAATGACCATCAATGTAATAGAAGCAACAGAGAATACAGGACAACCAATGGCACAACTGGAAATGAGAGACATTAGAAGAAAACAGAGAGAAGACCCAATAATCGATAAATGGAGGAAAGCAATCATTTATCAACAAATCCCGGAAAAATGTTACTCGAAAGAAGATTTTATATTGAAAAGAAACTTTAAATATTTAAAACAGAAAAGAGGAGTATTGTTCAGAGAAACAGAACAAAATGACAAAACACTGGATCAATTGGTAATACCAGAATTCTACAGAGAAGATATTTAAAGAGGACTTCACAACGATGTTGGTCATCCAGGAAAGGAGAGAACTCTCAGACTTGTTAAAGAAAGATTCTTTTGGCCTGGAATGACAACAGATGAAGTTAATTGGGTAACAAAATGCGATCGATGCCTGAGACAAAAGACAAATACAAGTTCTAGAGCTCCTTTAGTTAACGTTTACACTACATACCCTTTGGAATTAGTCTGTTTCGACTTCTTGACTCTAGAAACATCACAAAGGAGGTTTTGGTAACATATTAGTTGTAACAGATCATTTCACCAAATTCTCTATGGCTATACAAACAAAAAAAACAGACAGCTAAAACAACAGCAGACGCCTTTTACAACAATTACATCATACACTATGGTATACCTACTAGATTACACTCTGATCAGGGGGGCAATTTTGAATCTGAGATCATTAAAGAACTTTGCATTCTAACTAACATGAAGAAATCTCACACATCTGTGTATCACCCACAATCCAATTCCGGTCCTGAAAGATTTAATCGAACGCTACTTGATATACTTGGAACTTTGGAAAATTCACAAAAATCTGATTGGAAAAAATATATTAACTCTTTAGTGTTTGCATATAACTGTATACCTCATGAATCAACTGGAATAGCACCATATGAACTAATGTTTGGAAGAAGTCCGAGATTACCAATTGATACCATGTTTGAAAATGCAAGAGAACACACTTCTAATAAGAATACAAGGGAATATATTGATGACTTAAAAGAAAGGATGGAAAGAACAAGACAAATTGTAGAACAACATACAGATAAAGCTAAACAATAGCAAAAGAAACAGTATGACAAGAAGATCAGAGGTGCAAAAATAGAAATTGGAGACCGAGTTTTAGTTAAAATCCTAGCACATAGAGAAGGAAAACATAGACTGGCAGACAGATTTGAAGAGGATATATATAAAGTGATAGATCAGCCAAGGAAAGAGATACCTGTTTTTCAAGTGAGATCTCCCAATGGTACAGTTAAAACACTGCACCGAAATCATCTACATCCGGTAAACTACTTGGATGATAATGAAGATAATAAAGATGATACTGAAGAAAGACAAGAAAAGATAGAAAATATAGTGGAACATGGACAAGAGAAAAGAATGGATGCATCCGAAGAAAGAAAGAGTGATGTCACAAGTGAGAAGTCTGATGAAGATGATGTTGGATATTTTCTTATCCCAGAGACTAGAATATATGGGGACGCCCGTAAATCTGACAACAACTCATCTAAAGCAAGAGATAAGGAAAATAATGTGTTTGTAACAACAATACATAATGGAAATGATGCAGAAACTATAGATGTTTCTGATGAAGGAGATAGACAGGATAATAAAGGAACAGAGGAGAAATTGATTAGAGAGTCCGATGTGACATCTCGTCAAACTATAGAGGTAAGAGATGAAAATACAGAACAGCATATACAAGAGGTAGGAGAGAATACACTTGAAGAAACAATGAACTTTGGACATATAGAAGAACCGGCTGATATGATAGAAAATATAACTAGGCAAGATGGTAATATACATACAAGGGATGGATTGGAAGAAAGAGATAGAAATATTGATCATATAGAAGGAGAAAAAGGAGATGAGGATGGAAGTGTTAAACATAGAGAAGAAACAGATGACAGAAACGTAAGAGAAGGAAGTAAAAGACAATAAGAAGAAAGAGTGGCAGAGCCACAGATAGATACTGTAGCAGTAACAGATACTGATACAGACACAACAATAGGAGAAACAGACACACAGACACAAACAAAACAACTTAGGAGAAACACTAACAGGAAAAGACTTTTACCACCAGATCCACCAAGAAGATCTGATAGAGCAAGAAAACCACCAAAACGCTATGAAGATTTTCAAACGTACGGAATGGTTAATACAAGCACTACACCATATGATTCTCGATTCAAAGCTTTGGAGACATTAATTGGATCAGGGGTACTTCAAACGATGGACATAGAAACAGCAAGAAAATTAGTAACATCTCTAATGTCATAATAAGTTTTAAACATTTTAAACTGCTTTTAAGGTTTGATGATAATAATAATAATAAAAAACCTAAATCATATCGAACTTAATGTAAAACCTTTGATAATATTATTTTAAAAATATAATATTAATGTTCTTATGAGATATATCATAATGACATTTTAAATGGGGACATTTTATTTTAAGCAGGGGGGAGAAAGTTGAATGTTATTTAATGCACATTGTATCAAGTACATAGTACTTTGAGTACATTATTCTTTATGTACATTGTCCATTACGCGTTTAATACATTATCCGCAATGTTTAATCGTCTTAAGGAAGTTAAAAGTTAAAGTATGTTATTCTTTAAAGTACACTGTTCTTTAAGACGATTGTTCTTTAAGTATATTGTCTTTAGTTTAAAGTACAAACATTTTTTTGATTAAAGGGAGTTGATCATATGAAGAATCTGATTGTGTTTGGTATATTCACAATACATGTTTATTGTAGTTAGTATTAATCTATGACTATCATAGATTTTAGTTAGTTTGTTGAAGTAGAGATATTTTGACGAGACAATGACGGGACGTCATTTAAGACGGGGCGGAAATGTGTAACCAAGTGCTATTTTTAAGGTTTTTGCTATTTTCCAAGAAAGGTAACTCTGTCGGCCTTATTTGATTTTAATCTTTACTTTGTGTGATTATGTCCCCTTGACCACATTTGCTATTTGCACAACCATAACGTTTCCCTCCTAAAGTTAGGGTCACTTGAGGTCATTATTTTATGTTAAGAAAAGTTGTTGGTCATTGTGACATGTAGATGTGTTGGTTTTATATTATTAATAAGGATTTGGATTGAGGAATTGGTATTTGTATGTTTTTATTCATTTGTTCTTAAAAGTTCTAATGTCATCTAAATGAAGACTTATAGTAATTAAATACAGTTGTGGATTTGATAAAAGTTATTTTGATAAATTTGTATTGTTCTTGAGTGTTAAAGAATTTAAAATGGCAGCATATGTTCTTATCTTATAGTTATTTTCTATTTGTATTGCACTGATATTGTAAATTACAGTTTACAGCATAATTAACCGCACAGTGAGACAGGTGTGAGTGACAGAGGTGCATGTATATTTACAGAGTCTGATCCACAATTGGCATGTTATATTTATATGTCATTGTTTAATTATTTTTGGAGCTATATGTGTATTTTTAAGTTGAGCATATTGTATATTGTTTTATAAGTAAATGATTAAGTGGTCACTAGATGCAGGTACAATATGATGTAATACATTTAAAGATGTATTTTATGTGTACATGATTTATTTACATGAGATAAAATGAATGGTCTATCCATATAGACTGATCTGTTGATAGAATATTAGATTAAGTATATTTAAGGTACTGTAGTGTATACAAATGTATAAAACTAAATATTTCATGATAGTATGGGATGTTTGGTATTTATACTTTAAGGGCTTGGTAGATGTAATGTAGATGTGATGTTACTGTGATGTAACAGTGATGTAACTGTGATTGATGCGATATGATGTTTATGTTGTACGAAGTATGATATATGATGTTTGATGTGGAGATGTACTTTGTAAACTGATAACTATAAATAGTGTTCACTACAAATTAAATTGAAGAACCAGTATTACCCTCAGCTTTGTCCTTTTATTTGTACCAGGCAAAAGACATCGGGGTCACACAAGTACTTTGAGGTATACAGTTGTCGGATTGTTGAAAGTGCATTCTGCGTTCATTTGTAGCTAAAGGAGCAAAAGGAAGCTTAAGCAATAGTTTGGTCCAATGAAAAAGATGATAAAATTAGGAACCATTCATATAAGAGATTTCTTTCTGGTAAGGTTTGTTTTATTTTACATCATAAATAATTGACATTTTCGTAGAATAGTGTTTTGTGGTAAAATAAAATAATTATAATAAATTATTTTCCTTAACACTCCATGACTGTCTAAAATTACAAATATTGCTTTAAATTGATGGGAAAATATGACAAAGATAGTAAGAATAATTGTAAAAGAAATGTTATTATCAATGTTTGTAGCTTCCAAATCATTTATTGAGTAAAATCGTAACTTTTATTGACGATTGTCTTAAACCTCCTATATTCAAGTGATGATAGATTGATCTTAATAAAAGTCCTTTTTATACTTTTTTTGTATTGTAGTTTCTTTATTAATATTTCGTTCAATTATAGTATTTGTTTTTTTTCTCGTTGTTTGTATATTTGCTTTTTTTTCTTTTATAATAATTAAAGATGAGCATTTCTAAATATAAACATTATATTTTGTAAAAGCGTTTTTTATGGCATTTTCCTGAATTTTCATTTATGTTTTGTTGTTGTTGTAGTTGTTGTTTGTTTCATAAGTTAGTTGTGTTTTTTTGTTGCTATTGGTGTTGTTTTTCTTTGTTGTTGTTAATGTTGTTGTTTTTGTTGATGTTGTTGTTTGTTTGTTTGTTTGTTTGTTTGTTTGTTTGTTTGTTTGTTGATGTTGTTAATTGATTTTATTATAAAGATAAGCTTTTCTGAAAGCCGTGTATTTAATAAACATGAAATGATCTGTTAAAATAGTTCAAAACCTGGCTTCTGGATTAAACTGAATAAATGAAGATTTAACTTAATGCACATTTTTTTTAGTTTATGATTTTATAAACTAACTTTAGTGTCTTAAATGTTAGTTTTACTTTTTCAATAATCAATTCTTATTTGTGAGTTTTGGTTTTGTTTTCAATAAATTGAAAGTTTTTGAGCTTTCCTTATCTCTGTTGTATGGATTTGACTTTTCATTAAACTTTCTCAAATTAATTCACAATATTATAAAGAAAAAAATAAGTAAGTAAATAAGTAAAAATTATATACATCTGAAGATATACCGTATAATATAATAAATTTGATACAAGTAGTCTTATACAATCGATGGTTAATGAGTTAACAAATGTGTTTGCAGACATGCTTTTTCTTTTGCGTCTTAGTATGTACCGAACAAAATTATAAAGGTAAATTGCTATCGAACTTATTTCATTATTATCATTATTGTTGTTTTTCTTCATGTTTGTTTCTTTGGGATTTATTTTCTGATGTTTATTTATTGTAAAGCCAAAGCAAACATATTGAAGTTTTTTGTTTGTTGATAATTGACATGCTTATTATCTTACCGAAACGAAATATAAGAAAACTTATAGCCCGCTTGCCAGTAGATTTAGCATAAAAAAACAGTTTACGTAGAATAGACAAATACAATCAGTTCTTGAACATTCATTCTCACAAAAATTTCCTGACACAAATATATTTCATATAAATTTTGCAAGCTAGCACACACACATATATATATTTAAACATGTTCATGCATTTACATTTTTTTTAACATTTTTTCAACATTTGGTAACATTTATCAATTATAGGTTACTTTAATTTTGCCTTTTGCTATTTAAAATGGCCCAAAAACTGTTTGTGTTTATAATATCATAATCGTTCAGAATATCTGTTGGAAATTAAAGTAATCTTTATCCTTCCGAATAAACCGTTACATTTCGCTTCACAAATATTTTCAGATATATAAAGAAAATATTCTTAGAATTTCTGCCTTCGGTGTCAAACCAATTGGCATCTTTTAAAAACTGACTGTCCGAAAATTTAACATGCGTTTTAATTGTTATTTGTACATGTTCTAGGTATGTTGTGATATTTTCCCTTGTTGTTTAATCGTCTACGGGAAGTATCTTTCCCCTTTGCCCCTAGTTTTATTTCTTTAATTACCCCCCTTCCTCGGGTCTTCTGTCCTCTTCCCCTGTGCCCTTTGACTTTGTGGGCCTATTATTCAATCATCCATTTGTTTACTTTGAATTCTTACAGTTACAAATGATTTCCTGTTATTCAATTACTTATTTGTTTTCTTTGAATTCCTTTTCAGTTACAAATTATTTATCATTTTAATGATTAGCCTGCCCGTGCTCTGCCTTTTGCCTTGTCCTTATTATGTATGGGGTCCGCCCGGGCTCCTTACCACTTATTCTTTTTGCTGGGTCGTTTAGGGGTTGCGATCATTGAACGCCGCCTTTCCTTGTTGATGTTGTTTATCATATTTTCTAATTCAAGATTGTAGATCAGTTATAACATTATTAATGACCTGTCGATTTCTTGTATTTATTTCTCCACCAGTTGATTAACATCGGGTAAATGACAATAAGATCTGCTTTAAAGGCATCCTCTGATTTGGAATCTAATTAAGAGCTTATGTCAAGTCTCAAGTTTCAAAAGTAGAAATTATGGCCCCGGCTTAATTCGTGAACCGATTGTAGACAAAAATTCCTGATGTTTCAATCTTTTTGTGTTAACGAAAAACTCCAAAAACTGTCCGTCTATTTGAGGTTAAAAGATCGAAACGCTGTGTGCAGAGATCTGTTGTTTGTTTTTTACGTCATATGATAGACAGTTTGAGGAGTTTCTCTACTTAAAGCATATCTTCTACATTGTCTTAGTAATGAGAAGTTGTTGTAAAATTCTATACATTCCATGCAACAATTGATAACTGCTTGCCTCCATTGTACATTTGTTGTTGTTGTTGTTGTTTTAAAAAGTAAGTGTAGAAAACACATGTAGGTAAAAAGAATTAATACCTTCTTTTATCATCATCTCTTATTTGTATTAATGTCGAGGAATATTAAAATATAAGTAAAGGTTAAACGTTTTGGATTTAAGTACATATTGGAATATTATAAATGCTTATTTCTTTATTTCATTTTTTATTTATGCTTCATTAGTACAATTTATTCATAATCAAGGGCGAACTGGCGTATAAAAAGAACAAAAAAAAGAAAATCAAAAATGAAATCTATTAGCTGCTAATTGATTCTGTAGGAATGTTTTTAGGATGTTCCCTTGATCGAATATGTGTTAAATGTTTTGATAATATATATACACCATCAATCAAAGGTTATGTCAGAAGAGACTAAGCACATATGAGCAAATTAATTATATTCATTGGGTATATCAACTGGAAGTCATTTTAGAAAGAATTATTCTATTAGTGTGCACGGAAGGGCACCTGAGGTCTTCCTCCACCTGTAAAGCTGGAACGTCGCGATATGACCTATACTGTGTCGAAGTGACGTAAAACCCAAAACAAACAAACAAACAAAATTCTATTAGTGTTTCAGTCTTGAATTCGTGTAATCAATGTTTTTAAGGAGGAATGGTTTTTAATTATTTTAAGATTTTATCCTATGGGGATTCTATTAAGGATAGAACTTTGAAACACAGAGAACAAAATCAAAATGTCAGCAATTTTTACAGAGCCACGGAATGACATTCACAAAAAAGTGTTGTTTTTTGTGTTTTGTTTTTTTTTCAGAATGGCATGCTCATATACGAATGTGAATAATAAATGCTTTACAATGCTTATAAACCTTGTCAAAATCCAAACAATGATAAGAAATGTCATATATATGACAATAATCTTTTCAGAAGAATCAAACTCATTGAAAACAAAACATTTATTTCATTCCCACAACCATTCATATGCAAAAAATAGTCTTGTTGTCAACTTGGTGTTTCACCATATTGAAATCTTATTGATATTTTATCTTGTTAAAAGTTATCAGTTATAAACTTTTAAGAATGTAACATTCATTCATTTTATATTCCTTTCAAATGATGTAGAATTCATAAATTTGGGCCCTGTGAATCAGATCTTTGCAGCGAACCATTTCCCACATCTATAGTCATAAACCCAACTAAACTTTTGTTTATTTGACTGTACACAAAATGTATGACAGTCACTATAGAATTGTGTTTCTAACGTCTTATTTTATAGAATAAAATTGCATATTTCTGCAAACAATGACATATATTTTTTATTATACGTAATCTCATGTATAGATATTAACCTTTTACCCCATGAGCATATTGCGAAAATGGCCGTTTTCATTGAAAAGCCTCCTGTAACAAGTTCAAACTGCTATGAAACTATGAAAAATGCTTCCATACTAATGAAACTTGGCACAAATGTTGACTACACCATAGCCTCTGTAACAGCCTGCTCAATGGTAAATTTCCTGTTACCATGGCAACGAGGGGAAGTCTCAAAATTGCCAAAAATCACTATTTTGCATTGTTTTTTTTTTCCATCAAAACTGATTTCAAAGTGCTATTTTCTATCTCCAGCACTTTAAAACAGTTTTGATGGAAAAAAAACATGCAAATAGTGATTTTAGGCAATTTTGAGATGTCTCCCGTTGCCATGGTAACAGAAAATTTACGGTTGAGCATGCTGTTACAGAGGCTATGGTCCAGTCAACATTTGTGCCACGTTTCACCAATATTTTTTGAAGCATTTTTTTATAATTTCATAGCAGTTTGAACTTGAAACAGGAGGCTTTTCAATTGAAACGAGCATTTTTCACAATTTGCTCATGGGGTAAAAGATAAACACCTTCGTTTTATCTACACAGTTCAGTATAAAATTTTCTCAATTGTTTGAGAAATGTTTTACAAAATAATGACTTTTATAATGGTGATTGATCAATTGAAAACAAAAAATATTTTGGATAAAATATAAAGCCATCTTAATTATAAAAAAGACTGCCCAACTCTTTTTAAAAGATAAACTCTACCGATACATTCTTAAGTCTATTGACAGAAATTACCGCCTCCGTGGTCGAGGGGTTAGAGTCGATGACTTCTAATCCAGGTACCTCTCTGGCGTGGGTTCGATCCCCGGGAGATGCTTTGGTAGTTTAGCGCGAAGTAAGGTTGTCTAGTACTGGTGTAACTTTCCAGGAACGATGGTTAGGAAACTACCCGCCTATATGACTGAAATACTGTTGAAAAAGGCGTAAAATGAGACAAACAAACAAACAAATTGACAGAAATTTCCATGAGATATTTGTTTGATTGTAAAACATGAAATGTAAAATTCAACACAATTTTAACAAAATGTAATGTATCTGTGCACTCAAGTAGGCTACGTGATTCGCATATTGTTTTACGTTCTTCCTAAAAAGGTGTATTAATAAATTAACGCAGAAGCACTTACAAGTCAAGATCATACGCAAATAGAAGTTTGAGGAGCAAATATTTAATGGATTTTTGTACAATATGGGGACTTTTAATTCAAATTAAGTCATGAAATCACAAAATAGTTGAAAAGTATCCTTTTATTAAATATTTCTATTTACAGGAAAAGACTGTTATAAATAATAAAGTTACAAAAATTGAATCTTGAAATAGCAAAAAATAGTTACGTTTAAATTTGAATCTTACCTCAGTCACAACTTTAGGGTTTGAGTTGTGTATATATCCACTGCTTTAATCCTTGGATATAGGCTCTAAAATTTCTCTTTACATTTTACAGTTAACCATTGCGTTTGCTATGTGTGTGTTCTTGCCATTGAACTTGCTGAAAAAACCCTTGAATGCAAATGAGGTAAGCTGTTTGCGGTTGTGTTTTACGTCGAATCACAAAGGTATAAGTTTGAAACAATGTTAGGGCCATCGTTGTTTAATTGCTTAATCCAGAGGGCGACAATGCGACTGTGCCATGGCGACAATACGACAGTGCTATGGTTATATAGTGCTATAAGTTAAACTGATCAGCATATTCTTCTATATGTTTTACTGGTCAGTTGATTGTACTATACGTTAAACTTGTCAGCAGTTTTTTTTTCGCATGACGAAAAGTACGTTAACTCTGCTGACCATAGAGAATAAGAAGAAATTACGCGAAAAACCACCTAAGCAGTTCCTACTATTTTTTAGTTGTTCAATGTGGTTTTATTGGTTTGCGAGATGTAGAATATATTATACTTACAAATATTACAATATGCATAAGAAATTCACGGCAAAATAACATATTTTTCTAGATTATTAATTGGTCAGCAGCTTTCACTGTAAACGTAACTGGTCAACACATTCTTCTATATGAATAACCTTTTAACTATTACAAACCTGTTTTCACGCAATTACCCCCACCCCCTCCCCCAACAATCCTTTTTTAGGCCTCAAATAGTGAATAAAAACACCTATATACGTTTGATAATTGTTGATCACTTTTTTCGGCGCCATCCTTATTGAAAAGATACATCGGGGTGCCAGAGGGTCATTTGCCCTCTTCTGCACGCAAAGAACATTTTTGGACATGTGAGAAATTACAAATGGCCTCAGGACGATCTTAAGGTAACATGTAGAAAACCGCTAAAAAGCCTTTGACTCTTTCTCAATCCATTGAAAAGTTGCAGCACTTTGAAATCAGTTTTGATGGAAAAACATGAACATAAAATAGTGATTTTTGGCAGTTTGAGACGTCCCCTTGTTGCCTTGGTAATAGGAAAATTAAGATTGAGCATGCGATTATAAAGGCTATAATCTAGTTAACATTTGTGCCAAGTTTGATGAGTAGTAAACCATTTTTATAGTTTCATAGCAATTTGAACTTGTGTAACAGAAGGCCCTTAGAAATGAAAACAGCCACTTTTGGCGGTAATGCGTTAACTGGTCAGCAGTATACGTTTAAGTGATCAGTAGTTTTTATATGTTTGGGTCGTCACACCAAACAATAATGGTAGCGAAATTTCAGACTCTAATGCTGTTAATTGCAAATGCCGAAAGTAGTCCGCTTTTTTGAAGCGGTTACTTCCCTTTATATGTAACACTAAGGCGAAAAATTCATGGGAGTTCACTTCGTAAATATGGTCACATGACAGGCGCATTAATTTTCAAGCAAAATAATTCCCGAATGGTCGAAGATTTCTAATATTGTTTTATTCTTTATAGATATGAATGCTTATAGTAAGCGCCATGATTATTTACAAAAGTGTTAAACAACAGTAGCGTCGTTACAAACCCTTATGTAGAATAATATGGTTTTTGTTCAGGTCGATAACATATAAATTCACCGTGGCCGAGGGGTTTGCACGCTCGCTTAGGAAGCGAGTGGTCTGGAGTTCAAATCCCAGTTAAGGCACTCATTTTTTCAAATTATTTAAGTCAAATTAACATTGGATTGAATATTAGAGTTGCAATTAGTCTTATAGCCATTCTACTACAATTAAAACACTGGAAAGCATTGGTGGCACTATACAAAAACAAATGTTTTGTAATCTCACAATCTTCACCTTTCTGACATTCTGAGACCCAAAAAAATTCAGCGCCTTCTGTGCTTTGATCTCATAATGCACAGTACGTTCAATCTGCTTACCATACAGTATAAGAAGAAAATATGGCATTAAACTCAAAGCAATGTCAAGACGTAATTTATACTAATTATGCAAAATAAATAGGTATTTCACGGCAAATATCATTATCCTCTATACATCAGCAGTTTCACAGTGTTGATCTAAAATCACTTAGGCTATATACAAAACAAGTGGACATCTAGTATATTTTAGCTGGTCATCAATTTGTTCATAAATCATATTTATTTACTATCTTAAAGAAATATAAAAGTGCTATGATCACAAAGTATCAAACATGGCACCATCTTAGATATTGATATAATAGTACAAAGATCGTCAATTTGGTAGGTAGTTGGTAGCTCAATATTCGGATAACTAACTACTTACTAGCTAGTTGTTTGTTATTCGTAATCCCCAACTACCTACTAGCAGGTTGTGGGTAATTCGAACTTTGCATGTTTTCCCTCAAAAACAGTAAGTACTTTTCTGGAATGAATATAACAGATATACGATGTTCTTGAAACACATTGACTCACTATGTCCACCAGCTGAATCATTTGGCTATAGAAGAATATGCTGACCAGTTAAACTTATAGTAGAATTTGCATTTAAGTTTAAATTACGTTGTGAAAAATACTGACCACTTATATTTGATATATAGAGAAAATTATGTTAAAAAATCTATAAATCAAAGTAAAATTATTTTCCCATATTCTATACCGTCAGCTTATTAGTCAGCAGTTTAGAATCGCACAAATAGATACAGGATGTGCGCATGTGTACCGGAAGACGAAAGTCGATAATGCGGTAACGCGATGGCAACAATACGATAGTGCGATGACGACCTTGCGAAAACGTGATGGCGATAATGCGACAATTGACATTGCGATAACGGGATGACAACAGTGCGATAACGTGAAGGGGACAGTAGGATACTGCGATGGCGACAACGCGATAGTATAATCGAACTGTCGTTTCTTTTTGCCTTCGCATTATAGCACTGCCGTCATCGTGTTATCGCAGTGTCGCCATCACACTATCTCATTGTCGTACTTTCGCATTGTCGTCATCGCACTATCGTATTGTCGGCATCGCACTATCTGACTGTCGCATTGTCGCCCTCTAAATTATAAAGTATAACCACGATGGCCCTGTAGGTATTCTGTATATAACTCATATGGCGACATTCCTGTTTTACTGGTGGAGGAAGAACTCAGGTGCCCCTATGTTCATTATTTCAGACAAGAACAGGCACCTGAGTAAAGCCACCCGAAAGCCAGTTGTATATCTTTCTCACAATGTCATGTAAAAAAAAAGCCAAAGAAGAGATTTCAAGTTTTCATTCCATTTTGTTAATAATAAAACCAAGGAGAATACGACACATTTTTATTACAGAATTATAATCAGTGTATTAAATGAAATACTTAACATTTGCGGTCTATATATTCTGATACAACAAGTAAATCACTCAGAGAGCAGAAATGTCGCTTGCAAAGGGATCCCTTCGAATGAAGTGGTTGCTTATGACAAGTTCACTATAATATAGAGTATTTATTTTCAAGTCAAACATGGAAAAATAAAATTTTGAATTTTTAAAACAAGATTTTTTTTATTTTATTATTTCTATGTTTTTGTAACTAACTAAATGAGGGGTAAGGTATTCTATCTATTTGTTTTCGACAAAGCATCTTCGCAAATGCAATTTCATTTCATAAAGGTTTTCGTTATTTCTCTTTAAGGTTCAAGTACAGTTAACATCGATGGGACCAATTATTACAAGTAAGGAAAGGTTTCGCATTCTCTGGTACAACCCAGCTGGACATTTTACAGTTACCCATAGGGATGCGTTGTATTGTGGTTTTGAAAAATGCAAATACAATAACTGTGAAATGACTGTAAATACATCAGATGCAAATATCAGTCAGGCTGTCATTTTTGATGGTCGTAATATGCCAAGGAATGTTAGCTTCATACGTCCAAATGGCCAGATATGGATTTTCGCAGCTCACGAATCTCCTATTTCATACGGCGACACAGGGACATGGTGGTATAGAAATAAAGACTACTCCTTCAACTGGACGATGACTTATGACAAAGATAATTCTGACATATATTTGCCATACGGAGAAATACTGAAACACAAATCCGAAGTAATACGGGACTACAAATCAATTTCACAAAAGAAAAACAAAACTCTCTTAATAATAGTTTCACATTGTAATGTAAGATCTAAACGTCAGGAATATGTTAATAAGTTAAAGAAATATGTTGACGTTGAAGTATTGGGACTTTGTGGGAAAAGGTGGACATGTGGTACTCACTACAAACACGACGAAGACTGCTTTAAACTTTTAAATACAACTTATAGATTTTATTTAGCCTTCGAAAATGCGTTTTGTCATCAGTATATAACAGAGAAGTTCTACGATAATTTCAATTATGATCTAATTATGTTGGCACGTGGTGGAAGCCCTGGCGAAACTAAACAAATATTTCCCAAGGGAACTTTTTTATCAACCGATGAATTCGAATCCGTTGAAGATCTTGCAAACTTTCTTAAACATATCAGTGTTGAAACATATACCGCCTTTTTAAAGCGGAAAAGTCAATATTACTCAGCTGGGTATTTGTATGTATATCAAAGAGCTATGTGCAACTTATGTGAAAGGATGAATCATCAGAGCAAATATGCAA